TTCCCCATATTTCCAGTTCCTATCTGTGCCAGTGTATCCTCCGGTTCAGCCAGATATGTAAGGTAGAACTGGGGTCATGATAGTGTGGGAGAAGAAGCATTAAAGAACTAGAGGAAAATTGTGTATTTCATCGTTGCTAAACTGCACCCTGACTGGCTCGTCTCCTCCCCGCAGCCCTTCTGCAAGGGGATGTCCAATTTCCCACAGATGGGCCCTACATCCCCACTCCGCACTCCCCCTCATTCACAATGCTATGATTTTTTTTTGTCTTTGATGCCTGATACCTGATCCCTTCGATACCTTGTGATCTCACAGGCTGGTGTGCTTCTTCCATGTGGGCTTTGTTGTTTCTCAGTTAGATGGTCCCTTGTTTATTTTCCAGCCTATGGGACCCCAGATTCTATATCTTTTGAAAGCCGGGCACCGTCAGCTTTCTTCACCACATTTGAGAAAGCCAATGTTTTGAGAATGATGATGGCAACAAATGTACAAATGTGCTTGACACAATGGATGGGTGGATGGATGGATTGTGATGAGTTGTCTGAGCCCTCAATAAAATGATTTTAAAGAAGGACGTCCATCCAGGGCCTGGACTTCTGCCCATCTTCTCCCCAGCAGCTGAGGTCTCACCTGGGTTAATGATGGAACCCTGGGGCTGGGGGATGTCGCACACTTGATAGATCTTCACTGGGTTCATGGGCACCTCCTTGGTACCATCATACATCAGGTTGAATTCCCTGCTCTTGTTGAGAGCACAGCGGAGCTGGGCCTTCCATTTAGCTGGGTCAGGGTCATCCACCCCTTCCTGGTACTTTCCTGTCTCCACAGCCCAGGCCTGAGGAACAGGAAATCACAGTGAGTGCCTGCTGGGGCCCAAAATCACTGGAAAGGGTGGGCTTGTTCTTGATTACACACACACACACACACACACACACACACACACACACACACACACACCTGCACCTATCTACCCCCGCCCACCGCATTCTATAGAAACACTGCCCTTAGGACCAGGCAAGGCAGGGCCTGAGGGAAATTTAGCATGCACAGACATGATTTTAAAGGAAGAGCCACATCTCAAGCAATGATGCCAGCACACGTCAGATGGCAGTGTTATAGTGAACAGTTGAAAATAAAGAAAAGCTGAGAAGAGCATGCACCAAAATGCGCATGCTCACTTTGGGTGGCAGGGTTTGAGGTGGTCTTGGGGACCCTCTTTGATGTGGACTAGAATGACCGTGATAGTAAGAGCTAAGGCAAAAGAGGGGGCCGATCAAGTGCAGAGTACGGTCTTGCTCTTCCCCTTTCTGCACACTTCTATCAGCTGCCTAAGCAAAGGCTTGTGGAAACCAAGTGCTTTCAGAAGAAGAGCCTTGAGGAGGGCAGGGAGCACCCTCCCGGGGGTTCAGTTTGTCCCACTGGCTGAGCACGTGAGTCTTATAAGCCCACACAAACACCCACTGCCCTGCAAGCAGCATGTGCCAGCCTCGCCTATGGCATAGGCTAAAACCACCTTGGCTCCTCCTCTCTGGCTTTCAAATGTGGGAACTTGCAATGCTTTTCCCAGCCAAGAGGACAAAGCCGTCTCTGCAGGAAACCCTGAGCTGCCCAGCCCCCAGGCCACCGTCCTCAGGAATAATGCCGGCAGTAGAAACAGCCCTACCTCCCGGTCCAAGGGGCACTATGTTTCTGCTCACAAGATAGCCACTCTCCCCTCCTGGCTGGCTGCTTTCAGATCTCCAAGCTCTCTTGGGAGCCCCTGTGGCCCTGTTGGGTAAGGATCGGATTGCTAATGGTAAGGCTGGTGGTTCAAACCCACCACTCATTCCATGAGAGAAAGCTGAGGCTGTCTGCTTCTGCTAAGAGTAACAGCCTCAGAACCTCTATGTAGGGTGGCTGCAAGCTGGCACTGGCTGGATGGCAGTGAATGGTTCAGCTTTCTTTAACCTGCCCAGAGGGAGGCTCCGCAGGAGTAAGACCTGGGGCTCTGCTCCAGTGAGGACCACAGTCTAAGAGAACCCCCGGGCACGTCCACTCTGTGGCTAGGGACTGGACTCCTCACCAGGACAGCAAGCTGTCATCAGCAGGGTGGTGTGTTCTGCCGTAGAGAAGCGGGATTCCGTTAGCAGGGCACTCCAGACAGAAAGCACCACGGTCACTTGTTTCCTGGTCCAGCCCCAGCTCCCTGCCTCTGCTCCCGACCACAGGTGCCCTGCCTGCCACACTTCCACAGAGGGCACTTGCTACCCGTCAAGTGCTTCTGAATTTCTCCCAGGTCCGCCTCGCAGAGCTTCGCAGCCGTGAGGAAATCTCTTCCAACAGCTCCTCTGCATCCCTCCTCCGTCGGTTCAGAACCATTTCCTTTCAGCCTTTTCTCAGACTTAGACTTCTTCCATGTGCTTTGTGTATGGAATGAAGGGACTTAATCAAGCTGGGCCGCCCTAGGAGGGTTAGCAGGCACTAGGGGACCTGGTTGCCACTCCATTCCATCTGACCCCCCTGAGGGGATTTCAAATTCCCGGACCCCTAGCCTGGGAAGGTGGGGGGGGCACATCTCCAGTTACCCGGGTACCTAGCTGCTGGCTCCCCATGTTTTCTCTTCCCTTTGTTTGATCCTCTGTCCCCGCCCCGCCAACTCAGACTGTGCAGACTTTGGCACAGGCCTACAAATGTCTGTGGCTCCCAAATGCCCTGCCCCGCCATGGAAAGTAGCCAGACGAAGCCAGACCACAGGCCCAGCCTTCCTGCTTACCGCACAGCCATACCCCAGGACCCCTCAGATGACCGTAAAGGTGATACGGCAGAAGCCCAGGCCCTCGACAGTCACTGTGAGCAATAAGCTGGGCTCTGCTCAAAACTGCTTTTGATTCTTGCTTCTGAGAGATCTTGGTCATTGTGCAGGGGTCTAGTTCCCTTCCTACATTCAAAACCCACGTTGCGTTCCTTTCCCAAACATTATTTCTCTTGATCTTCACAGTAATCTTGTGAGGACGGGCAAGACTGGCTCCCACCTCATTTGGCAGATGGGGAAGCTGATGCCCAGAGAAGTTACATGACTGGCTCGGGATCACACATGCAGTTGAGAGGAGTAGGATTTGAAGCCAGGCCTTGTTGGGAGACAGCAGGAGGAGGGGGGCGGGGGGGGACAGTTAAAGCGAGATGCAAATCTTGGCCAGCTGTGTGATTTGGCCAAGTTACATGGCACCTTGGGAGATTCAGCTTTAGTTTGCATCTGCAACACGAAGGGAATTGCCTCCCTGACATGAAATGCAATAGATGGTATGTGTAGGGTACAGTTAATGGTAGTGCCCACCAGTATTTCCCACCAAAGGCCCATAGGCATTTGGGATCTGTGAAACTACCCACATTCTTCTCCTGGCTCCGGGCCCTCCATGCCACCATTGTGCAAGCAGATGGGCAGATAGAAGTCTGATGAAGTGACCTCCCCGCAGCCAGCACTAAGCATGCAGATAGTCTCACGAGTGGCGCTTTCAGAAACGAGCCTCTTCCCCCATAACCAGCCACCACCAGACACCTGCATAGCAAACCCGGCTTCCGGCCAAGGCTTTACTGGGAGGCCAACTGGGCCAGGGTAAGGGACCTTAGTCTACTGGCAGGCCATCACGGTCTCAATGCCTGCTCCAATAACGCCAATGATAGGGCTTACAGAGGTTTTCCTTCTCGCTTGTACATCATTACTTATTTTCTACATTTAGAGAGCTTGCTTACTTTTTCCTAAGTACTCTCGGACCAGATTCCTTTTTTCTGTACCTAATCTAATTGAGTTTGGCAGGATCGGTGGTGGGGGGTGGGGGTAGGTAACACTTCTAAGACCATTGGTCTTGGAACCCTAAGCCTGCCCCTTCTGACCTAACTTGATCCAGCCTCAGCAAGAAACCTGGAAAATCAGTCTTGAGAGGCCCAAGGTGGGGACTGAATCCTAACGCCGATGTCCACCTTGTAAACCCCGGCAGAAAAACGCAAACTTGTGTTTCCGTGTCTCGAGGGGGCAGGAACTCAAGCTCCTCAAGATGCAACCTTGAGCGGCAGGGAGGAGCAGGTCTGGCGCAGAGGCCTGGCCTCCACAACGGCAGATCCCACGGAACCCCTTCCCACCAACCACCTCCCACTTTCTTCTGGGGTTTGCCTTAACCTTGGTTAAAATGTCACACGACTAAATGTTGTCTTCAGTTAGATAAAATGACTATCATACCAAAGCTACTTTCTACTGAAGAAAACCTGTGCACTGAAAACTTGGAACCAAGTCACTTTGCATTTTTAGCAAGGGTTATAGTTCTGGGGAAAATATTTTTAACAGCGAAAGAAAAACTTCCTGCCGGCCCTCTGCACCCAGCCTACCAGCTAGCTCTGTTAGAGACCCATGAAGTTGATAGCTCAGCCCTGGTCCCAACAGCCATTCCCAGGATAAAGCCACTCTCCTTGTGGCAGTCACGGAGCAAGGGAATGGGAGCCCTTGGTAGCTTTTAGAATAACCACATCACTACTTGTGGGAATTCTGCCAACCCCCGCCTCGGATCCTTGGGGACATGAGCTGAGTACTTTCGGCCAATGGGAAAGAATAAAGTGCTTCACACATTATAGACATGTCCCGACAAGAGGAATTACGATGCTGGTAAGGTTGGGCACCCTATCATAAACAGTTTCTCTATTTCATAACAGTTTTGGGTATTTGGGTGTCTTCCCTGTGCCAAAACCGAACGCAGAAGAAAATGAAACAAATGAAAACAGGAGGGGCTGTGAGAAGGAGAAAAAGTTCAAGTCTGATGACAGGCGTTCTTTACCTTGAAAATAGTATTTTCTTCCTCTTGTTGGGGACTGTGCCGGGTGGCATGTTTCCAGGGGATCTGGAAGCGTTTGGTGTCCCTGTGTAGCCAGATGAGCCCCGGGTACAGGCCACTGTCCACCTGGGCCACCAGCCAGGGCTTCAGCCGGACTCTACGGGGGTGGAGGGCCATGATCTAAGGGGTGGGGGAGGGATGGGGAGAGCAGCAGAATTAGGCCAGCCACTGGGAACTTTTCCCAGCCACTGTTCCCGTATGATAGAGCTACAGTTTCATTAGATTACAGCAAAGAAACTAAATATGGGAATAAACAGTGCCAGGTGGGAAAGAAAAGAAAAGGGGTTAAAAGGTTCTTTTGATTCTTATTCCAAAGCCATTTATACTTCATGCTCTAGCCAAATCAGACTTATCATGAAAGTAGATCACATTTCTTCTATTTAAGTCCTGCAGCAGAGAAACAGAAAGGTGATGTCATCTCCGTGCTGGGACACAGTCCTTCCTGAAGCACCCGGGGCTTGGCGGGGGTGAGGTGGGGTGGGGGTGGGGGGTGGGGGGGAGGCAATAGCTCTTTTCAAGCTCATCACAGGGAAGGAGAGAAAAGAAAAATGCATCATAGAAATAGCAGTAGGGGGTGGGGAAGGGGGGGAAATGGATTGAAAAGCTAATGGCATTTTTCCCAGGAATGTTTTGAAGCCTCTGTATATACAAGAAGCTGAAGTGCCTTCTCTTTTTAAACAAGACAACTCCAGGCAAATGGGCACAGTTTACTGAGAAATGACACTCGTCTTGCACAAGAGGGAAGTGAAAAGTGACAGGGACTGGGCTCTGGAGGACTCACTCACAGGGGCGCAGGCCGCGTCTCCAAAGACAGGCAAAGAGGGCCTCGGGTCCACTCCCCTGTCTCCTGGCCACCCCAAGATTCTGCACCTAGAAAAAAAGGGGTTTCAGCTGGTTATCCTCGGGACAGTTTCGTGCCTGGCAGAATGTTCCCAGTAATTTGAGTTTGATAAAGCTCAGAAGCCCTCAGATAATGAAATACCACAGTTTCTAACCCTAGAGTATCACACAGTCACAGGATAAGCCCTGTTCAGGTATGACAGCCCCGTCACCTGGGTCTGTTTATCTCCCCACAGGGACTGGAGAGAACGGGGTTGGTTGTAAGGGCCAGACTGGGTAAAGTCTGCAACCAAGACTCATAAAAATACATGGGCGCAGTAGATAACAAGGCTGCAGCACTTGCAGGAGGATACAATGGCTTGCCCATACTGGGTGTCTGAAGAAAACCAGTCACGGGGAAGGTGAGAGGATTTGGGGAGCAAACAATGAATGTGGGAAGGGAGAGGGAGCACCAGAACTGACTGTGATAATGTCTATACAACTCATTTTAAAAGCCATTTAACCATGACGGTGTATGATATGTGAATGCTATATGAAGAAAGCTACTAAAAAGAAAGAAACCAGACTTGACCAATGGTTATCATGGGCAAAGGAGAAAGCCTTGTTCTCAGGCGGCATTGAGTTTATGTGCATGGTGGTGGAAGTAATTTGGAAAAGGGTATCAACAATGGTTATACTACACGAAGAGTATAATCAATGGCACCGAATTATACAATCAGAAGTTGTGGAATTGGAGAATGTTTTGTTGTGTCTATTTTTGCCACAATTAGAAACAAATAATCGCATGAGTAAGAGTGAGTACAAGGATGAAGAAAATGTGCTGAAATCCTGGTGGGGACTGAGCATGATAGTGGGACAGGAGGAGAATCAAGGGAAATACAGGAAAGAGCTGGGAGGCAAAGGGCATTTACAGAGGTCTATATAAAGACATGTACATATGCAAATATATTTATATGAGGATGGGGAACTAGATCTATGAGCCTACATTTATTGGTTTAGTATTAAGGTAGCAGAAGGACATTGGGCCTCCACTCAAGTACTCCCTCAACGCAAGAATACTTTCTTCTATGAAATTGGCATTCTATGA